GCGTCGCTCTCGATGGTGCGAGGAGAGAAGGTGGCGTAGCGATAAACCCCCGGTGGTGTACTACCGGAAATAGCCTCGATAAACCCTTCCCCGCGTATCTCCCGCTCGGTGGCGGTGCCGGCCGGCCGGTGTTTTCCGAGTAAATATAATGGAAACCAACGCGAAAGTTTTCCGCACACATAGTTCTGCGTGCGCTTCGAAGGAATCCTTTTATCTCTTCGGCCGTACAACGTGTCCACGTGGCCGATAGCGATACGGCCGGTCGCCGGTGGGATCGATATCGCGCGAGTCGAGTCGCGAGTCTCCAGGTGCAATCTCCCACTTCTTCCCCCCCTCTTCTTTGACGGCTTTATCTTCGACCGTGGTTGACCCCCCTGCGTTACTATGCAAGACCCGTACGAAGTCGCGACGCCCGCGAGACACCGCGTGCTCGTGAAAGTTTCGACGGAAGAGAGCGAGCGCTTACCTCACCGTCTTATCTTTATTGCGGGCAGAAGACGCGATATTAATTAACATTGCGCACATATGCGAGCATATATAATCTTATTGGGGCCCTGGGCACTTGCAACGACACCGTAATTTTAATCGATCGGGTTTCTTGAGTTCGGAGAATCGATCCTTGAGCTGAAAAGACACTTGACTACACCCACAGAGAAAAAAACTTTCCGGATCCAATGCTGTTACGCTTCAATGTATCATAAAATAGCTTCGATATAGCGCCAGTCGTATTTATTTTAGAGAGAGGGATATTTTAATCTTAAATAAAAAATTCCAAAATCTAGAAAATCTTTTGTCGAATATCGCGGTGCCAACTTGGTGCGTTGCAAGATGGAGGGAAAATTTATTCTAAGCGCAAGAATATATTAAGTTACTCTTGTCTCACTATAGTAAGTCAATCTTTTTCAATTCGATAGAGGAGAATAAGAATTATTGATTTTATTTTGATATCGTCTCATCTTTGTGACTAAATGAGGTTCTGAGAAATATAAATGCATCAAGAATATTTTGTCTCGGTAACAGAAATCCTTTCCGAGGGTGTATAGAGCTTTAATCTCTCGCTGCGATTAAATAACGCGTTAAGAACTCGGTTTTACAAGCATCTCGCCTCGTCTACAGCTGCGCTCTCGGCGCATTATGCTATCACGTGGCCACGAAGCGAGATAGTAACCCAGTAACACGCGGAAAGAACGACTATTGATCGGTCGATGCGTCTCTAATCGGCAACTGCCAGGTCGTTCCGCTATGAAGATCCAAGTTCCAAAAGTTGGAAAGGAACGCGCTTTCCGGCGCTGTAACAATCAGTCTGTGCCGCCCAAAGTGCAATATTTCATACACGTGCTATAGGCCGTCGATATACTTGGTATCGTATCTCGTTCGAACGAGAGAAGAAGTAAAGACGCAAAGAAATTAGGATAACAAAATACCTATTCAGAGCCTTTGGCGTAAAATTGTACGACTTCTCACAGCGTTCTCTCCCGCTGTATTGCAAACTAACAATTTTATATCGCGCGAGATAATTATGCACCTGGTTCCGTACACGCGCACAGGCCGTTTCGTTTTCATCGGCTTACATAAGACGCGCGCGGCGAACTGCGAAATCGCGAGGATAATTAACCGGACGGAATTTATCTCATTTGCCGATTCCTCATACCCGGCAGACCCTGCGCGGCAGCTAGCAGCCATGCAGCACCGGGTAAAACGATACGCCACCAGCAGGCAAGGGAGGGATGCTTTTATCGGTCGTAAAACAACGTTAGGCATCCGCGATAACGAGGGAGTCGCGAAATGCTGCCGAAACGGCGACGAAGCCGAACGAGAGATGGAGAGCGAAGGGAAATCCAATCGCGCGCTGGTGGAACGTACACGTGATATTTTGAGGAGCGCATACACGCACGTCGGGACGTGCAATATCACCTCGCAATTTCGTAATATCGCCGTTATATTGGGGACAATTTAAAATGTCGTAAAGCGAGGCGACGCGACGGAGCCGGCGCTCCGGGAGGAAGAGCATTCACGCGCGAGTAATCTCGCGAGTCAGCGAAATTTCATTACGAGGGGAAAAATAATGATCTCGAGAGGATCTCGAGGATGATTTTGAATACGCCGCCGAGTGTGAATCAACGTGAAACTTTTAGCGAGAAGCTTTTCCGCGCGTTCAACAAGTTAATTTCGCGTCAAATCTCGACACACGTATCGTTACAGTGGATATTAAGTGCTGTTTAATTCGCTTGAAAATTTACGGAATTGCTGTACACATTATTAACGCGCGCGTTTGCATTCTCTTTCCGCGTAATATTATTCAAAAAGGATAATTGACACGTTGCCTTTTCGATCGCGGCGAGAGAGCCTCGGGAATACGCGCAGACAACGAATCTTCATTCCTCGCTTCTTTTCAAGCGCGCTGCGGCGGAATTCAAACTTGAGATTTAACTGTCAAGATGTTAAATGTCCAAGTCTAGTTGCGCGAAGAGCTCGTAATATAGCTTGTCGATGCAGCGACGATTTTTATGTCTTCGCGAGGTGACGTCGACTTTTCCATAAGCGACATAACGAAATTCCTTTACGAGGGGAAATGTGCCACGGGGCGGGCGGCGCGGTGGCCGTGCAACGCGTCATTTCCGACGGCTAACGCTTCGTGTGGAGGTTGATCGAACGACGAGGGGGTTGACGAGGATAAGAGGGAGGAAGGGCGGAGAGCGTTATCCGCTGCACAGAGTCGTAAACTTCGAAGGAGCTTGTAATAACGATAAAACACGACGAGGAAGCCTGGCCGAGCCAGGGAAAGCTCCATCTCTCTCGCTCTCTCGCTCTCTCGCTCTCTCTTTCTCTTCCTCTCCCTCTCGCTCTCCTCTATGTGTTTAAACCGACGAAGTTAGGCCGGAAGTAGTAAACTCACCCGGAACCCGGGAAGCTCGCCGCGTTAACTTCGCTCGTCGGACATCCCTTAAAATATTATATACACGTGGCCGGACTTAGATTGGTCTGGGCTGCGCTGCCGGGCGCTTCAACGCCACAACGTTCGTCCTGATATCGCGCTCAGTGTACCGTTTAAAAATCAATTTACCTGCAGAAGCCCTCGACTGATAGTACACGTCGTTATTAACTTCCTGTTGTATATCCGTGATACCCAACACCTTCCACCTCCTTTATTACTGTTTAACGTCAATAACGCGAGCGAAATGGCGCGACGAGTATTCTAGGCTAAATCATTTTCCCGTAGGACTCGTGGAAAAGTACTGAAAATATCTACACTTTTAAATATGTTATATTCAGAAGATGATTTTGTATTGCACAATGATGCGTGCAGCGTGGAATTGCGTCGTTGTTAAATTACAAAAAGAAAAGCAACGAGAAAAAGGTCCGTCGTACTTGAGACGGACGATTGCTTTCTCTTCTGTGCGCTCGGAAGACAGTTTCTAAATTGCCGGGGCATATCGGGTCACTCCGCGGTGTCAAGGCCACACCAGGACGAAAGCCTATCCCGTAGATACTTCGGTCTTCCTCCGTTCTCTCTTTCTCCCCCGAGGAGGAAGACGGGACCGTACGGCAGCTTAGAGAAGGAGCGAGCCGAACTATGGAGAGAGCCGGTTGAACATCGATCGCGGCCGGCCACGTTACGGGCGTATGCTCGGGGCCGCGCACCGGCTTTCCCGGTTTCCGGGGGCTCCTGAAAGCACCCTCGAGTTCTCGCTCTACGGTAATTCTCCGGCTGATGAGGAACGCCGAACCCCTCTTCTCCTCCCCATATCTCTCTCTCTCTCTCTCTCCCCCCCCCCCCGTAATTCTCTCCCTCGTACGTACTCGCGCCGCGAGCGTCTATTTATTTTAACGACCGACTAATCCACTACGTGCGCTCCAGCTTTTTGCTCGTTATCAAGGACCTAAAGAGCGAGGGGATAGCGCGGAGGTTGCTTATGCGACGACGCAAATTATCCTTCGGGATACGTCCGCACTGGGCTTCCAATATACCGTTGCCTTCAGATATCCGGATATGATTTACGTCTGAAATTTCGGAATATAGATGCCGGCGCGCTTATCGCTTTGATCGGCGCTGTGAAATTAGACGTCACAGGTGCGCGAGCCACAAAGTCGAAATGTGGTATTACGTTAAGTGTGATTTTGGGATATGAGCCACGAATGTTAGAAATTGCGGCCGTACCCGCGTACGGGATCTCAATCGTAATACATTATCGTAAAGGTGTTTCCGAGCTATCTCGATACTGTTGCGATCGTCTCGCGCGATATCGAGAGACTCGTCCGGCATCGGTGTTCTTTATCGTCGATTGTGGAATCGCGGTTCGCGGAAAGAGGGGTCCGCGGAGAAAATTATTGCCGGGGGTGGCGGCGATGAGTTATCGTTTGCGATTGTTACCGGCTGTATCGCATTCGGGCCATAATTTTACGGGAGATTCGCGGGGCGCGGTTTACTCGCCAATGGATCACCAGGAGAGCGAGGGATGGAAACAGGAAGAGAATTCGCTCTCTCTCCTTCCTCTTTCTCTCGCCTGCAGGACGAGTTATTTACCGGACTGGAAACCACCCGCGCTTCTAATCCCAAATAAAAGCGTTCGGCGGCAGCCCGGAACGGCTCGCCCCCCTTCATCGTGCTCGCTCGTAAAGGACGGGCTTCCGTTTGCCAAGAGATGAACGTCGAAACGCTCAAACTCACGTTCATACTCGGGATATAGATGGACGTATTTATCCCGGGATCATTGAGCACGTTGAAACTCCGGTGCGTCGCATCGTTCACCGGGAGCATATCCATGTATCCGCGCGATAATAAATTCGTCGGAAAAAATCGCAGCGATTCCTCTCGTTAAATAAAACATTTTTCCCCAGCGCGCGGACAGTGATGTGCAATAATTTTCAGAATCATTCGTGGAGAACGGAACTTTCTCAATTGATATATCGAAGGCTTTATTCGAGCGAAATCTTGGTTTAAGTTTCGAAGATACCAAGTTGAACGCGCGTACGAATGATCGAATCTTTGGTTTTTGCAGGAATCGATACGATCACGCGTGGCGATGGATTTTACCGGTAGCGTGGGCAGGATAGTCGAGGATCCCAAGGAAGCCAAGGATATAGCCGAAAACGAAGGCATGATCTGGCGACGGAGATGGCGACCGTTTTCGCGAACACCACCGGGGTGCGCCATGATGAGGCTGCACGGCCTCGACGCCGGTATACACGTTCTTCAGCCTTGGTTCCACGGCGGTCTCAAGAGGGATGTCGCGGCAGCTATTATAAGGGACAACGGCAGCGTCGACGGGTAAGTTCAATCTTGTCGATTAATCAACTTCTCAAGTCAATTTCGCGATAAATCGCCATTTAAATTTCGCACCGAATTAAATAGATCGCCAAGTTTTATTCTTCGTTCTAGTCCGCGGAAATTGCCGAGTTATAACTCAAAGTAATATATAATTAACAAAGTCGGGATAAGTTCCGCTTACACACCTAATTACATGCACATATTTGAAGAAGACGGATTTGTATAAAATTCAATTTCTTAAAGTAAAAACTGTAACAACAATCAAGCTTTTTAGTCGACATTAACCGGCCGATGTTTTAATTTATTGCGAGAAATATTACCTCGGCCAGGGTTTGAACCTCTCTACTCTCTAGGCAGTGGTCGAGTTGGTGAGACGCCCGCCTAGAGAGTAGGGAAGTCCAGGTTCAAACCCTGGTTGAGGTAATATTTTTTGCAATAAATTAAAACATCGGCCGGTTAATGTCGACTAAAAGGCTTGATTATTGTTACTTATTACTGGCAGCTTAAAGAGATTTCCACGTTTAAAAAATTTAAGTTTGACTGAGCTGTTGCTGTGGACGAGTCTATCATTAGATTAATACAAAAATGAAATAGTCGTGACTCAATTATGCGCCAGATATTTTACGGAGAATCAAGCTCGAATCTTCTCCTCCAATTTTCTCAAAGCTGTACCCATTTCAAGTCACGCTGCTTCTCGCTCGCGGCCGCGATTGATAACGCGTCGTCGCTGATTGCAACCGCGGCATCGTCCGTCGTAAATGATGCTGCCCGAAAATCCCGATCGCGTCGATACTATCGACGATAACCATCCGGGCGGGAGAGGGCCCGCCTCAAACCGGTTGAGAGTTACGACCTCGAAGCTGCTGGCGCGGGCGACATGCCTGGCTGGCGCTTGCGTAATCCTCGCGATTATTACGAGCGACCGTAAATCACGATGAATTCCTATCGAGCATACTTTGTGTCTTTCGCCCACCGCTGCTTCTCGTCTCTCTTTTGTTATTTTAGTATCTTATTACTCGCTAATTCGCTCGCGGCTGTGTCCGCGCATTTGAATTTTAATGCGCGATACTCGATTGTCGACTGCGGTTTTTTTTTTGCGCGCGAGGGATAATGACAATACGTTCTAATAATATCGCCGATACTTTTTCTATTACTTAAAAAAAAATGTAAAAGTGTTACGTACAAACGATACATTACGCACACGCAGAAACGCGAGGGAAGACGAACATCGGCAAAAATGAGATTCATCGAACGCGCAGTGCTTTGTTATGTAAAATCTTTTGTCCCCCTCCCCATGTTGTTTCTCGTTTAAAATAAATTATGTTCGAGATAGAGTCACGTCTCCTCAGAGCGTAATAAATCTTTCACCGTTTCGTCAACTCTTTTCCTTTCATTTTTTATTTTATTTTTTCCCTCGCTGCCGCTAACCACGCCGCTTTGTCCTGGGTCGAATCCGTCACCATATTGACCCTCGCATTTAACCCGTATTGACCCGGTAATCTCAGCGAGCGTTACACGTGTGGACACGCCCTTGAAACGTTAGGAAATTATTAATATCTTAAATCAGATTTCATTATATTCGCGTAGGCACTCTCTCGAGACGGGGCATTGCTCCCCCCCGGAGTGTGTTACACGTTTGACGGTGCAGAATCATAGATGCCTGATAATCTTTGCCAGAGTTGACGAGGTAGCTGTGCAAGCTGTAGTAATACAGGGACTGGGGAAGTGAAAAGGGAGATTTCTTAAACTCTCCGAGTTGGCGCAAATAAGTTGGCGCACGCCAATCACTCCAACGAGCCGCGTATCGCGTTTCTTTCCCGTGTCTCCCCCCGGTCGCCTAGCCTAATGAAGTAATACATTCCCGTCCAGCGATCGAGTCCACGTCTCCGGCACGTCGATCATCCATCGATGACCTCCTCTCACGGGCGGTCACGACCCGAGCGAGCGGCAGCGTTTTGCCGATATTCCGGTTTGTCGCCCGTCCTCTTCCTCTTATCTCTTCCTTGCTCCTCGATCTCATCTTTTATTCGCCGTACTAGCGTCGGGAATCGCGGATAAATGGTTAATTAACGACTCTCTCCATCTATCTCGTCGCGCTTAGCCCCGGGTAATTGAGTGCTCGGGGATCACGTAGTTGTCTCCGGGTTTTACGTTCGTTCAGGGGGCCCTTGCATAAATTTGCATAATCTCGATCGTACACCCGCCTCGCCGCCTCCGCCGTATTCTCTTCCTCGTCCTCTCTCTCTTCATCTCGACAATAGCGGAAAAAAAGGGGGAGACGGCGGAGAAACGCGGTGAGAGTCCCGCCTTGTGTCTTCCTACCTGGCACTCGCGAGTTCCTTCGCCCGTCGTGAGTTCCCGTTGTCTCGTGTCACGATTGTCGTCGTCGTCGTTAGACGCGAAAAACCTTCTAATCGATTCCGCCCCGGGCATTGTCTACTAATCGCCATTTACTTCTCGCGACGCTGCGAGTTAGCTCGGGCAGAGCCCGTGAGATAGAGAGGACGTATCCCCGCGACGGACGTCGGGCTCCTTTGTACTATATGGGAGCCGTAACGTCGTTATCCTCCTAACTCGGGATAGTTCTTGGACATTACCGTTCCGCAGCCGGGGCCACGAGTCACCACCGCCGCGCCGGAGTTGTTATCTGCCTGCCTGGCGGACGTGGAATATTCACTCGCATGAATATTCCATTGGACGAGCATCGGGGTTGATGAGAGACGATACCGGACATTAACAAACGTTATCGTCGCTACACATGAATAATCCGGCCGAGATACTAAAAAATGGGTCGCGCGAGAGCCGCGGCCTCGCATCGCGATTCTTCAGATTTCTTTTTTTGACAGCTGCAGCGACGCATCGTTTCGGGGGAAATCTGTCTAATCTGACGTGGTTGCTAAGGAATTTCGAGCTTGTTACGGATCGATTATCAGAGTGGCTTGCGAGCGACGGGGAGCCTTTCTTCTAATTGAATATGAAGCGACGAGTCGCTTTGTACAAAGTTGCACGAAAGACAAGGTTTCGTCAACGTATCGTCGTTGTGCCACGTAATATTTGTTAACGACCGCGTCATGTGGCATCAAATATTTATCGGAGAGGGCAATGGGCATGTGCTTGATGATATTTTATCGTGAAAGGGACCGCAAGTCTCTCTCTCTCTCTCTCCCTCTCTCTTCCGCGACAGCGGCAACGGGATTTCTCAACGCGAGAGTGCCAGGAAGGAAGCGAGAACCGCTTCTTCCACTCGGAGTTTTACGATCGCGTGGCCGCGTTGCGATCGTTTTACGACGCGAGTCCTCTTCTCTCCTCTCTCACTCTCTTCTTCCTCGCTGCAACCGATCTGCCTCGTGACCGACCGGTCTTGTCCTCGTCGTTGCATCCCCTGACCTCCATCTTCGCCCCTCGCCTCTGCCGTTGTTTTTTTTTTTCAAACCACTCCACTCGTCCCGCTGCCTTTTACGACCATACTAATTTATACCGTGATACGCCTGGACGAGCCGTAGTCTCGCCGTCCTCCCCGGTATCAAACATCTAGCACCCGGTGCACCGTGATGGCCTTTGCATGCTGCAAAAAGCACAGCCTATCTCTTCTGAATCTCCCGGCTAGTCCTGTATTCAGATATCGTCTGTCTCACAGCAGCTCTTAACCCTTTTTCTTACCCTTAGCGGGGCCCCTGGTATACGTGTCACTTGAATGTTTCTGGAAAACTTGGAAGTTACGGTGAGAGATAGCACGTGCCCGCCGAGTAAATCCTTCATGAATAATACCAACATCGCCGTTATCGTAGAATCAACACCGAGTATTTGGATCGCGCCGAACATGTTATCACAGATTTCTAATTAGCTACGATCTGACCGGGGCATAAATTAAAAGGGTTGCCACGTGCTTGAACGCCGTGATAGCTTTTACACGGTCGTCGGCTCTTTCAGAATTCTCAAATGTTCTGTTTTCTGTTCTTCCAGGGTATTTCTGGTCAGAGAGAGCAAGAGTAATCCTGGGGCCTTCGTGCTGACCTATAAGTACAACGACAAGGTCTTTCACGCGCAAATCCAACCCGTAAGTATCCGCGTCTGATCGATAATTAGCGACAAGTCGGGGATCTTTTTTTGCGGTCGAGTTAACTTCGCGGCGATTAAACGCGAAAAAGTTCCCCTGGGTCGTTTACTTTAAAACCGTCGCGAGCGAGTTGCTAACACTAGAAAAAAAAATAAAAGATTTTAATCTTTCGCCGTTCGAATTAATTCCGCCGGATAAGCCGATATTAAGGATTCTGTTCTTATTTCAATATCAACCGTACCAGTGTTATTTAATGCAATAAATCAATTGCCGACAGTCGCAGCGTTTTATAGCGACTCGATAACAGAGCGAGTTTTCTTGCTATTTTTAATCTCCCGGCCATTCTTTATTCTCGTTGTCTGAAAAAGTGAGCGCCGTTTTTTTTCTCTCGACTGTAAATTATTCCGTTCGATCCAAGATTCTTCGCAACTTCGGCAATATCTCTCCAATATTTTGCGCTACACGCCGCACTCGGTATCGTACATTCGTATACGGCGTTAACATTCACATCCGAATTGCTTCTTTCAGATCTTCGATGAGCGTCGCAACTGCTGGCTGTACACCCTCGACAAGGGGACGACCAAGTTCTACGATCTGCTGCAGCTGGTCGAATTCTATCAGCTGAACGCGGGCTCGTTGCCCACCCGGCTAACTCACTACGTGCAGAACGGGGTGAAGCCGCCGCTGCACAAGCCGGAGGACGGCGGGGCGTCGCCGTCGCCGCCCGAAAGCAGCAGCCAGCGGATCAACAGCATCGACAAGGCCGCCGAGCCAAGCGGTAATCCGAGCAGCATTTGAGTATAGGACAGTCGGCGACCCGCTGGTGTTGTCGACGGCGATCGCCTGCCTACCGTTTGCGCCACCACCAACGGGCCCCTAGACCCCGTCACCATCGCCGACAACATCGTCATGGTGCACCGTAGCAACGACAATCGTCTGGGTGGCAACGAGAGCAGCAACGGCGGCGGCGACGTCCGCGCGACACGATCGGGTTGCTGGAACCTGTGTTTCTGCAGTTACAACAAATGGGATTTGTAGCGCGATCGGCAGCGGCAGCAGCGGGATGATGTTCAAGTGGACGCGAAGACATATGGTTGTCTCGTTGGCGCGAGAGAGAGCGCGAGGGGGGAAGAAATAGAACGACGAGAGCGAAAGAGAAGAAGCGGCACGGCTTGAGCATCATCCATCGTTGAGTCATCCCCGGATCGCGACTCGTTCTAATAACGCAGCATGTGTGTGAGAGAGTGTGCGTGTGCGTATGTATGTGCGTATGTGTGCGCGTGAGACGTCACTGGGTCGGCTGATCCGTGCAACAGAACGACCAATTTTTGGGCGCGAGGCACGCAATAATGAAGAAAGATACGACCGCGGCGGTAAGGAGCCGCAGGATCGCTGTCGTACGAAAAGATTCTTCGTTTCGACTTTCACGTTTGTTCTGTTGTTCCGCTCGCCGGAGTAGCGCGGCGCCGACGTCCGCCGACAGCGATCCTCACGCGGAAACGAAACCTCTTCGATGTTTTTCATTGTACCGTGTTAGAGAGTCGTCGTGTAAAGATCCATCTTGTCGTCTAGACCCCTCGCCCCTCTTTATTTCCCCCCTCGGAGTCACGGCGATCAAGCAAACGCGTCTAGACGATCAAAGAGGCAACGCGTATTCGTTTCTTTTGCTTTTCCTCTTCTATTTCTTTCCACTTTTCTACATTGTTCATGTTCGTGCAAGCATGGCGCGTACGACTAGATTGCTGACCGCGCTCGGCGACGTCCCGTCGTTCGCGGAGTTATTCCGTGAGGAGAATGGAAAAAGCGCAATTGCGCGTGCGTGTATGCGTGTTGTATCATCGTATGCCTGCGAGAAAGACGGAGGTAGGGAGAGGTAGCGTGAGAGGAGAAAATAGAAGCGCGTATCGCCAAGTATGATGTAGTTATGGATAACTATATCGTGGTAAATCAGCAATACAAGACGAATGCCAGCACAAAATTTGGCTTTTCTGCTTGGGTGTGTACGGTCCGAGTGTGCAAGAGTATGCGTGTATATATGAAGAAGTAAGAGAGAAAGAAATTTGCGTGGTCTCCCCCTCCTCCCTTATCCCTTTTGCTTCCTCGTTTTACTTTCTGGCGCGCGTCGCGCGTACCGAATGTCTCTTCTGTTTTAGTCGTTTCTCCGAAGAGAATGCGCGACAAAGTCAACCGCGCGATTAGATACCATACCGACTTTGTCGCCTGACGACGACGTTGACGACGACGACGACAACGACGACGACGGGTTCAAATAACGAGAGAGAATCGACCAAATTGAGGGAGAGGAGCGAGTGTATGATGCGTCCGCGTGTTCCGTTCATTAGGTATAAGACTGTGTCAGGCGGAACTCATTTGGAAACGATATTGTCGAGAGTCACGATTATTTCCGAGTCTAGAATGTTCAAAATTAAGCGAGGCAGCTCTTGTCGACGGGACAGGAGCGACGGAAATGGAGCACAGACTTCTCGTAGAGGTGTCGAGGGTGTCTCGCGTCTTGTTTGCAAAATTTTTATCGCGGCTTGGAAACGCGAATTTTCGCCGCGGTACGAAGAGCCCCATTACATTAATGAATCTACGAAATACAATACAATTAGTGTAAGGATCCTCGACGCGCGCCTACGTCGAGGGCCGAGGAACACGCTCGCGGATTCCCGTGGTATTGTAACGCGCGCTGAAGAGTTGAAAGCGTGTCCCTTGGCAGACATGATCTCATATTTTACAGATGTTTCAGTTACGTGAGGCATTTGTTGGTTAATACGAATTCGGAAAATGAGGTTCAATTATAATTATTATAAAAATGCGCTAGGAAGGCGTAACATTGAAATAAGAGAACGAGAGAGAATGAGTGAGAAGGGTCTCGGAAACAAGAGATGTATGTACATCTGCGAGATGGCGAACAAGAAACAAGTTTGCGAGGATGAAGTTGGTCACGTGGCGAAACAAAAAGAAAGAGGTATATTTAAATACAAAACAGATATATATACATAATATGTATATGCATGTTCTAAATTGTACAATTTAATTTTATATTCGGGATATATAATTATATACTATCGAACGCGGAAAAAGTCGATAGTGCGAAGTTCGTGGGAGCAGCATCACCGGGTGCGAACGTTGTCGTGCATTCTAGATTTATAATGTGGAAGTTTTCAACGTAATGTTTTTCGAATAACAAACGCGAAAGTCTCCTACAAGATAAAGGCGGATTTGGCGGGAGCTGGTGGAGTGTGCAGGGTATGGACGCGAGAGAAATTATTTGCACAATGTATTATGATTCGTCGAAAGAACAATACCAAACCCCCTGCCTCCCCCCCATTTGTACCTACTTTTTAATGATATATTTTTTCATTGATTATATATTTATTTAACGTCGAACGTAGCGCCTACGCGTCATGTCTTGAAGTGGTAATTTTTTAATTCGAAGAAGTGCAGATCTTACACCAGATATATAACACGTACACGACAGATAAGACAGCGAAACACACACGTACATGTACACCAAAACACAGACACAAATTGCATTAAATTTTAGAATATAGTAGCGCTTTATAGAACTAAATATTAGGATAACAAATTCTTCGTGAATGGGTATGAAAAAAAAACAATCTTCTGTAGGAAGGGTGGTCCGCAAACGCGGCGTTCATCCCCGATCCGTTTGCGTAAAGTTCTCCATTTCTCACGAAATTCAAGCTGAAGTCGAAATCAACGAAATTACCTCTCGGAATACGCTTATTGCGCGAAAAAAAGAAATTGTCCTTTCGGCCTTTCGTGTAAATATGTCTATTTAGGCCAAGACCCCGCGTCTCTCCCCCTCCGAGTTTCCCTGTCCCCACTGTTCCGTCTACCCGTGGCCCGTCGACTGTTTGAAAATCAACTTTGATAGCGGTTAATCAATCTTGATTGTTCAGGTCGGCGCCGCGGTGTCCCGCTTCCTCCTCTTACACCTTATAAGACACCGAAAAACCGAACGGAAAACGAGACAGACGCCGGGTTCTCCGTGGCCACCAGCGTAAAAGAAGCTATATTATTATTATTAATTAACTACATAAATTATAATAAAATATATTTTGTATTAATGTAGTCACGAATTAATACGGCAAACGCAGTGGTCTGTCAAGACTGAATCTAAGTAAGAGAACGCAAATTAGTCCTGTGCGAATTTCATCGACGTCTGTTAAGAACAATAAAATGATCAGGTAACGGAACGTTCACAATTGTGTTTTTATTTCTATCCCCGGACTAAAGTGTGTTTCGTTGATGTGTTTGTATATTTTATTCTTTCGCCGCTCTGTTTATTTTACCGCCAAGTATTGTTGAGTATACTTTCAATTTACGTTTCACCCGTCTCTATCTTCGAGAGATCGTTTCGCCTTTCTTCTTCGTAAAAGCTTATGGGCCACGACTTATCGAAAGGGACCGACGCTCGTGCTTGCGTATGCGATCGAATTGCCCGCAGACGTTGATGAAACTCACATTGTCACTCTGGTAAGCGATATATTCCGACGCAAAGTCCGATCTCGTCGGATCGTTCCTCAAACTCAATCAATCGCACGAGTTCGATTGTACACAAGCGGCACACATACACACACACACACAGACACAGACGAAAATTCGAGTTTATAGCGAACGAGCGACACCAAGGTCCGTACGAACGTGTAGTCGCAGCCGCTAGTTCGCTCGCAATGATAAACGGTAAACGTACAAGTTCCGGCCAGGCTTTTTGCTGTTGCACCCTCGCGCAATATGCAACACGCAAAGGCAGCTTAATTCGTAGAACGTGTGTAATGCGATGATTATATCACCGATTGTATTATCTATCTGTCCACGGTGGATCTCGATTGGTGAACGAGACGTCAGCAGTTTTTTATTTTTCTATTCTTGTAAGAGAGACGACAATGCCGTTCAGTTTGTGATTCGAATAATAATTGTTGTTTAGACGTTTGTCTTCATTGACTCATAATTGCCAAGTTTGTCAATTTTTAAGAGTTTAATGTTCAAGTTGTCCATCTTTTCTGCATTAAAATTCGTGATACGAGCGATACGAGGTGAAGAGCCTCTCGCGAGCTGTTACTTTAGATTTTTAACTTCGCGATCGAGCTCGAGTTATCCGGATATAGGAACTATCCGGTTTCGTATCGACAACATTAGTAGAACTATCTTGAATATAAGTCCGTTAATAGTTGGGGAACGGAACGTGAAAAGCCTTTCCGATCACGATACGTTGATTGTGCAACCACGCGCTCCCCGTTCACTGATTACGGATTGGAATCGTAATAGTATAGTAATAATGATTAATCGCGATCTGGCGCCCGCTCGATTCGCGGTGGACGCGTGTCGCGAACGAATGTGCTTCAGAGCGACAAAGAGAGGGAGAGAAAGAGAGTGTATATAGATATATGAGAGATTGCTTTGGTTGGAAAATTGCGCGAAAGTGCCCTTGCTGCCCATAATTACCGAGGGAATAACCCAATAGTCATTCGCGACGTATGAGCCATCGGGCACGACAAATTGCAGACGATGCATTTTCCCGTCTCCTCGACGTTTCCTCCATTCTTTTTTATCCGAAATTTCACGTCTGAGGATAATCGGATATTTAAAAAGGAAGTATAATACGGTTACAGAGATAAAATACAAAACGTAAAGAGCTAGTTGCGACGTTACGTTCCTTAAAATTTATGGATTCGTTGTTACACCGCGTTATATCACTGTTCTACCCAACGGCTCGTGCTAGATAACCAAAGGGACTAATGTTCCATCAATCGACAATCGCCGGGTGCACCCTCAAGGACGGCAGGTACCGTCGGTGCGATAATTTCCGGTACCTGCGGTCAACGAGTATGCGCTCGTGGGCTGAAAACGGGGTCAACCGTGATGTGCCCCCATCGGAACGGAATTTCAGCCGGAATGAACTCGCTCGAGGTAGAAGCGGATTGAACGAGGAAGAGGGTGTGTCGTGTGCGTGGTTTGCGTGCGTAGATACGGTGCGTCGGATGCGCCCAACGGAGCTCGGCCAACTACTCTCACACGAAAAACCAGAAACGCGTCGATCGGTGCCACGCGGTACGCCAGAATCGTAAGAGAGCAAAAGGAAAAGGAATCGGCGTTAGCTAACGGGAGGAGCGAGACGACCCCGGGAGCAGCAGGGAATACTTTATACAGGGTGTTGACGACAATTACCGTGTTAGTGGTCGCGAACGATCAAAAGCAAAACGCACAAATTATCGGACCGAGGTCCTCTCGAGGTCTCTGACTGTCGTAGAAATTTTCATTCCCATTAGAAAGCGACCGGAGATTTCCGCGAAAAGGACCGGTTCAGCGGACGACCGGACTCGTCTCTGTTCACTTCGCATCATCCCCCTGATCATTCGCAGTCGATCCCGTGAATTGCTGTCGTCCACATCGCGGATACGTCCCTGGTTGAAAAAGATCTCCGAAAGTGGTCTTTCGGTACCCACGGTCCATCGGGATGTTCCGACGGTCATTCGGCTATATTTTAAATCGTTAATATACAGATAACACGGGGAGAGACGACCCAAACCGTGATAAATTTCAACAATGGGCACAATCGCGCGCTGGGTGTATCTTCGATGATTATGGGGGACCAACGTTAGCGCGATAATTCGACGGGTATCATATAATCGGTGAGCGATGTACTCAACCAGGGGTGTCGTGAGATTTTTACGTCTCTTTTAAAATTCTTCCTTCGTTCAGTAGCAGCGCTTTCACGCATACCGCGACGCGCGATAATTCGACTGGCGTCGCGATCTCTTGAAGCAACACGAATATCGAAGCTCCAACGAAGAAGAGAGTCGACGAGCTGGACTCGCCTTCCGAAATCGTTTTAAGGGATTCCCGACGGCTCGCAGCATCCGTTCCATAACAAGCGGAAACGACAGCACCAAAATGGCTCGACATATCGACCTCCCACCCGACAAATCGCCCTCTCAATCAACCTTCTTGTGCGCAATAATTCGTTTCCTCCGGAACAACAATATTAACCCGCAATAATAATGTTAGCACCTGTAGCGCCGCGAATACGCGAGAGTCATTGTTATATCTTTGTATGAACATTTAATACGCAATAAATATGTATATGTCGTCATCCCACTACTCGTGCGGTATACGCTTTACTGCCCCTCCCCAATACCTATTTGCATAACTGTCTTACGTCGTTATCTCGTTTCGCGAGCACATTTTATCGATAACAAACATTACATTTATCTCATATATTTTGCCGAATGCTTTCAATTCTTGCAACAGGAGGTAATTCTATGCAAATCGTGTGAAAGGAGAATCAGCTTATCTTTTAGTAAAACTAGGAATGGCAAAACGCGCGCTTCGCGCGCGTAATTTGTAGTCGGGCATTGTATATTTTTATGAATCCGTACACATGCAAACAAGTAATTGTATGCGCAACGTCAATTTAAAATAAAAAGTAATTGATTACTCACTGATACGATTTGCAACAGCAGAGTTGTACATCGTTAAATATATACGTTAAACTGTAAAAATACAAATTTGTATATGATTATTATAGAATAATTATGTAAAATCGAAATTATTTTATTAAATATATTTTATATTTTATGTTTTGCAAAATAAGTATTTATTACAATAATTATACAACACTCAAGAAAAATCTTTCTTTTAAATATAGACTAACCAAATTTTATACGTATGGTTTTTCTAACACTTATTCGAATCTTCGTCCAAATCATTTGAATAAATAAAATAAAAACATAGAACAGATGCTTATTTTGTACGAGTAGCAAATAACATAAGAATGTAAGACACTTACCTCACCATTTCTCCGTCGTTGCCCGATGCCTCCTTAGCTTCCTCCTCCTCTCAGATTTCCTTGTGGCACTCACACAACACTCACTCGCGAGAATCACCGATCGCGCGAAATTTCGGACACTCCCGTACGCGATGTGAAATATCGCGAAACGCACGAAATAATATTAACAAATATCGCGTGACTTTCTGTCATACATATTATTCAAACTAACAATTTGCATTTTTGATTCGGAAGAATAGGATAATGGATAAAACACTTTTGAATTGGCGATATAAAACGCAACACGAGCACCGGAGGCATAATCTGCGGTAAAGAAGTAGTTATTAGTCTGCAACGAAACGATATTTTACTATCTTTGTCATTCAATCTAATCCTCGAGATAAGTTATGTGAACAAAATTGCCTTGATAAATAGTAGTTATTATTTGCAACAGTTAATCGAGATCATTTACATAATGTAACGACGTGCAATAAGCGATTTTCTGTACTTCCTGCCCGTTCGGGGCGCGAAGAACGACAGAGCGAATTACAGCGCGAACGCCCAAGTCGTAAAAGTTTCTCTCTTTTCCCGAAAATGGAACAGATTACACGAAATCGATAGATAATTAAAAGCGCGGTGCGTAAACGAGATGTAACCGCGACAAAGTACCACGGTTTACATGCAAATTTTAGACGAGTTAGTCTCGTGAAATATATATACGTTGATAAAGAGCCGTCGCCTCAACGTGCAATTAGTTTCTCGTTACAAGTTGTGGAAACTTAATAATTAATCAAGGAACGTTACTTGTTACTAATGAAGGTGTGCAAATCAATAGTGTTTTATCCCTGCATTAATCGCAATCGAGTCTTGGAAACCGATAACGCAAAAGTAATAACACGCACGGAGCGACTCTCGCCACTGCCTGCCGGCTCGACGTTCGGCGAACGAGTGAGCGAGCGCCGACCTTCAGGTAAACTTTGGCCCGCAAAAACATCGTACGTCACCGCGCCGAGTGAAAAACAACAAAAAAACGTTGAGAATTCGTTGACCCGCCTACGTAATGGAAAATTCCGTACTTAATATTTTACATAACTTATTTCCGCGACTGTTACTACGTTTTGTGTATCATTCTGCGGACTTATTGATTTAAATGAACGATTAATTCTGTTCACTCGACACTATGTTTCGAAACAAAAACCGTTGTTACTTAAATTCTAATTACCAAGATTAGAGATTTTACCTCAATAGTTAGTGTATACAAATGTATATTTCTAAATTGCAAATCTTCATTCACAATGAATCTAAAAGAGAAGTGAAGCACACCGCGCTTCGAGAAAACCAATCAATATCGCGGAAAAGAAGCATCAACTGTTCGATATTGATATTCGCGCTGGTAACATCTTTTTTTTAGAAAGGGATACCCATACAGCACAGAAAGTTAAAATGATGTTGCTGAAACGTTGCAATGCTCAAGTATAAATATCTTTTCTAAGTTGAATCTAGATTACAGTTTGTTCATTGATTCTTTATGTTGCTGCATCGTTAAAACAATCTTGAACAAATTATTATTTTTTGATACTCAAATAGATACTTAAAAAACGTATAATTATGAAATGTGTGTATATATATAATATTTTTGCAACGGTCAGAAATTTTCTGAGCTAAGATTGGATTATTATTTTAGAGGAATAATCCAATCCCAGCACTTCCAGCAGTTGTAAAAAATGTTCTGCTAAACGCGACCAATGTTAACTCAATATAATTTAACATGGTTTTCTGAATATCGAATTGTAACGTTTACAGGACACTACAATTCAGCGGATTACGTTTTTGCAATATCTTTTCAACGTTGAATCTACACTTCGTAACATTGATGCAATATTGTAATGGAACGTTTCTGAGCTGTTGATTCAACATTTGTGTGCTGTATGGGATACCATAAGATATGAACATTTTTATATAGCACACCTTTCAAAGATAGAACCTTTCACATTGCGACACGAAAGAGATCTATAGATCCCTTTGCAAAAGGGGGCGTTAAAAAGGATAAAAATCGGCCCTGGTCTTCGGAGGATGCGCATCCACCGCGGTCAGAATCACGTGCTCGCGTACTTGACGCGTCAACACGTGTCAGCGACGTCGGCTGCGAATCTCCGATGGCAGTCGGACCGCGGATCGCGAGTGCGCGCGCAAGCTGGCAACAGGTAAACGGCAGGTAAGAGAGAGAGAGGAAAAAAGGCGAACGAGACGCAGGGGGAGGTGGAGGAATAGGTGATGGCGAGAGCAGGGAGACAGGTGCGCTGGTTGGAGGGGGCCAAGTGACTCCTCGAAGAGGTGGGAGTCTCGGGAACCTGAGGGAACTCTCGCTGCCGCCGCCGCTGCCGCCAACTCGGTTCGCTTTGGCGTTCTCGCGATCGACAGTCAAGCGCGGCGGGCCGTCGATGGTGCGCGTACGCGAGTTTGCATGCGATACGATGTACGCCTGTGCGTCCGCGTTCCGCGCGACGCAGGAATCCGAGGACGTCGGGGTTGCGTAGCGCGCGATCGCGCGTGGGTGCGTGGGTGCGCGCGTACATCCGGGCCGCGCGCGAAGGACTGCGCTTCACGGATGATCTCGGTAAGCGTGTGACCTATCACGTAATTGTAATTGCAAAATTGCGTAGAGACGTAGCGGAGTGTTTGGCGCGACTCGTCTCTCCCTGATGTGTTGCGCCATCAGAAAATTAAATAAACGCTCAGACGTTGTTCAAAGTTAACGCGAGGGAGATTTCCACCATTTATCCTTGAAACTAGATTAAACTCTTTCATATACAACGTCTACGATGCGATAAAAACGTCTGAACAATGACTGAACGGTTTAAGACTCGCTTGTCTTTGATATTATTTCGATTTATATGTGCGAATATTTTGACTTTACGCGTATCCGATCGCGAATATCGTTGCTCGCGACTGCTGTTAAGTTTATCGTTGTCATTAGATGCTCGAGAATCCGGTTACCGGCTGCTCGAATCGAATTAGAGCCGATAGTATAGAAGCGAAGTGCGCATATCGAAAACACGCGGGATACGTTTCGTACGAGCAGTTGAACGATGTTGCAAGGAGGGCCCGCGGAGACTTCAACGATCACACAGCTGTATAGGTAGATCGAGTGGGGCTTGACGTGCATCGAGATAATTTCACGATTTATTCGCATCGCATCGATCCACTGCTTCTATATGTGTAATATTGATCCCCGCTGCTTGGAAACACCGGTAACATATGCTAGAACGTACACGACGCTCGGGAAAAGTTACTAAAAGCCTCACCGAAATGATTTTCTACTTGGAGCTTAGTGTTCAATGAGAACGAAGGTTGTTAACTATCGAAAATGTAAACGTTCTGCCGCTGTTGTCGAAAACAAATCGACCCTAAATGGCATGAAATAAAGCAAACTCCTGATTTTTGCTTCAAGATTTCAATTCAGATAGCACAAGACAATTCCTATGAACATTTTAAGAAGATTCTTCAACAACATTTGGAATATTCCATAGGTCATTCTTATATATTTATTCCATCTTCGTGGAACATTCGACTGGCGCTATTGTAAATCTTTTTCGAATGTGAATAGAATAATCTATCGAATATAGCGTGTCGGTTATATATATGGTACGATTACAGGTTTCACTGCCTTTTGCATAAGATAAGTGTATTACACAATAAACAATGTGCAATACATAAACTCGGTGAATATTAAAAAATTATTCTGAACGAATATTTCCAAAGACATTCTCGACGAATATTCTAAAAACGTTCTTTTTGTTGTGAATATACGATTTCTAATTGCAATAATCTACGTATACTTAGAGAATATTCGATTGGAATATTCTGAAATTAAGAATATTTGCACTCCAGAAGAATATTCGTAGAACTATGGGCGCTACCTGGGAAGAGACTGTAGCTCGATGAAATTTCAAAACTCTCGGTTCGACTAAAATTTCAATGTCGTGCTTGCTTACGAAGGCATCTTCTTAGTGTAGGGAATATTCCCTGTCCGGTTCCAACGTTATTGTCCGCGGCAGGTACGTCGATACTGTGAGCGGAATATTCTTTTACATCAGGTAGGCTGCTAAACCTCGCCGCTTAATCCTCCTTCTTTCTCATCCGGGCATGGGAAATTCGAGCTACGAAGGAATAAGCCACGAAAAGATCGTGATCAGTCGAATTTCCTTTAAGAAAACTGTCGATTCGAAACTGCTAAAGAATTCGTCGGTTTTTCCCCCAATATTATTTCGTAGTTCAGGAATCTATGTCGTGCACGTAGTACGCTTTCAATAAGTTACGTGTTTCCGGTATCAGACGATGTTTTCCGAAAACTCGTTAAACATGCATTACCACTTTACTCGCCCGCGCAAGGGCGAATCAATCGAGCGCGACGTTGCACCGTTGCAATCGTAATCAGTGTGGAAAATGTCTGAGCCATCCGAACCGGAGCATTAGACGACTAACTAATCAGTAGCTAATTACACGCGGTTGCTCGTTCGAGCGACGTTCGTCCTAGTTTGTCGGTTACGCGGGATTGGCAAACGCGGCGTCGCGATTAACATCGTGAATGCAGTTTCTTCCGAGACCGAATGCTGCCGCAGCATTTCCGATGTTTCGTCATAAGGAAGATGATCGCGCGTGTGACGCGGCTTCCCGCGACAATTCATTCTGACGTAAACGCGACAAGGCTGTGCGCTGTGCACGGCGTTATCAATGAGCAAAAGATGTTACAAGAAACGAGATACCGAGTACGTGTGACGATATGAGTCAGCCCCTCTAATTAAAATAACCGTGTGCAGTGGCAATAGTTACGTATTGCTATTTGTTAGATTACAGGAAACACTCTCGGGATACTTGCCCGACGACATCTTTAGATCGCGTGTTTTGATCGCGATGGACTGTGAAATGAAGGGGGACTCCGATTTCGAAGATAATTTTTATGTTTCTTCGTTTAATTATCATATCATTTCTATTCGCAACTCGAAAAAATTATTACCATTTGCACACTGAGAAAAATGTCCGATTAAATATAATCGGATAATCCAATTACATGATAACAAACGGATATATCCGATGAAATTGTATATCCGATGAAAAATTTGATCGGTTTTTCAATCAAATTTCATCGGTAATTGCAATTCATCGGATAAATTTCATCGGATACATCCATAATTTAATCGGAAAACGTAATCGGAAAAATTAACCTTCGGACATACTATTTAATTGGTTTATCCGATGAAAATTTTTCTCAGGGCATGTTTGAATTGAGAGAATTTTTTTTTTCGAGAGTAGAATCAATCGAAAAGTCTGCTTTGAGTTACTTATTAATTCAAGAGGTGGACGCAACAACATATTTATATGTTTGCGACAAAAATGATCTTGAGCTTTAAAATCTATCGTGACTTGTTATAAGAAGACAGAAGAAACAAGTAAAAGGTGCGGAAGGAACTCTAATCTTGTTTGAGATCGCGATAGGAAAAGTGGTCCCAGTGCTTAGACATTTCGAAATGGAAATTTCTGCAGCAATGTAGGTCTTGTGCCGTTGCCGCGTTTAACTCCTCGTTACACGAATAATCAGTCCGCATCGTTCTAGTTAATATCCGATAAATTCAGACGACTTTGATTCGTGATTCATTCCTTCGCTCGTGGTTCGCTCGCAAACGCGCTCGAGTATCGACTACGTATTCGGGTCCGTAGGGTTCGCCATGCGTAAAAGCCTCCTCGTGAACCAGTCAGGCAACATTCCTGTCCGGATCGTGCACGTCCACCGCCTACCTCTGACTTCTACTTGGACTTTCCACGACAAACGTCGTTTCGATGTGGAGTTCGAGCGCGGCACAGTTAGCGGCGCTTTCCGTTATTGCGGAATAAACACAGTAAGATCGGGACTACTTAATGAAGAGCGGACCTGCGGACCTGCTTATCTGCAAACGTGTCGGAACGCGACAAGTAGACATTCTGAAATAATATTAAACGACTGGCATATTGCGGAGAAGATAGCTTTAAGAGACATTGTCATTGAAATTCCTTTGGTACGATGGATTTAGATCCGACTATTAATTATTAGACGTGGAAAATCAAATGACTTCGAAGAAAAAATCATTCACAGCAATCAGTTTATATGTAATTCTCGTTTAGAAGATTATCGAGTTTTCTATAACGCAGCGTAAACTAAACATGTTTTCTGGTATAAAATAATTACGTTTATATTAACGTTATTCTATGTAATTTATGTTAATCGTTATAATTTATTTGTGAGTTATTTATGATGAATTTATCATAGAAAGAAATACTGATCAATATTTTCTGTTTTTCTACGTTTCTAGGGATATTTGAATAAATCACGTGGGCTTTACTTTCCATGATTTATCTTTTCGAACTCAAATTTGATATCGTTCGAAATTATTATACTTGGGAACTATGTCTACGAAGTTTGATAAATAATCTATTTACGTAAACAGGTGTTTTGCAAAATAAAATACGAATATAAAAAACGAGTCTCTCTACAATGCTAATTTCCATATTCTGTTTGTTTTAAACAGTTTGCCGTCGCTTTATTTCGTACGTCTATTTGAGTAGGTTGTACCATGTGTTCGCATTCGATTTCCATTCGTTACAACACCGGGCAACACCCTAAAGCATTGTGCGTCGACACGTATTGTGTGCGTTCGGTACCAGATGTACCATAGCGCGCGCTGGTTTCGCACAGTGAATTGCAACGAGCTATAATATGTATCCGCGTAATCGTATAAGTCAAGTCATGCCCTTCGGAAAACATATAATATGCGATAACGGGTTGCGCTTTAGACACACGCGATATGCCGTAATAGCGTTGGCAAAATGCGAAGAAAGGCACGTATCACGCGTCTCTTCCGAAACATCGGGCCGAGAATATCATAGCAACTTGACGCATCGCTATGTTGCAATTATCAAACATTATGACATTATTAACCGTGACAATGTTTTCTCATTTTGTTTTCCAATTTTGCAATTACAGGGCAAGAGTTGAATTGCGAGTATCTGAAAAAGCAATTTTAAATCACTGATCTGACATCGATTAATTGAATTTTTAAATAAGATTTTGCGTACTTGATTTAATTAAGAATTAAATTTTGAACAATTATCTCGGATCTCGAACGGAATGAGCCGAAAAATACGGCACCGAGAAAAAGTCGCGACGGAATATGTCGATTGATCGAAATAATTCGGTCTTCCCGGCTTTGATCGACAGCTGGAGAGCGATTTTCCTGTGGCACGCAGTTATGTACGTAGGAAACGAAGCAAGCGTTTACCTCGCCGGTTGATATGAGGAATGAGTCACAAATGCGATACGACGCGGCCCTGAGAATATTAGTCTCTCATTATATCTTATTTCGAAATCGACTATGGATCGACTATGCCTCCTACAAGAATATCCGGTTTTTAGATTAATAAATCTATCCGTTCATTGCAATTTGCTGCCACGATCTGTCGTCATTGAACACACATTATTGGCTCTAAAAAATTCATCGTCTGCGCGAACATTACGCAATCGCAAGAATATAAAGCATTGTCAAGAATGAACCACGGCCGTGGGTAATTTACAAAATATAGTCCGCGATGCAACAATAAAACGAGGCCGTCAATGGATAAGCGAAAGTATCTCCGTTGTTGCGCGACACTGGAGGCCATTTTGATGCATCCAGCCGCGCTCACGTATGCGTTAACACAGGTGTTTGAAGTCTACAGGTGATGCGTGTCACTTCACAGGTTGACGCATCTCCCGGCATCGCGACGCAATCGGACGTAACCAACGGAATAAAATACCTCCGCTATCGAATCGACCTAAATGACCCCGTATTGCAATCAAATTTTTGTTCTCTACGACTTCTTCGAAATCTGATAGGAATGTTAAAAAATTATTTTAGTTCTGGACGTAATTAAAAATGAAAGAAGAGGCATAAGAACTAAAGTCTAAATTATCGAATCGCGTGTTACTTGAAGTTGTGATTAAGGACACGATTAACGAATCCCTGAACTCGCTACTACGTTATATTTTTCTCCGATTGTTATGTCGTGTCTTCACAGCGGGATGTTTAAAAAATCTGTTAGAATCATTATTACTGTCAGTACTAGCTGGCTTTGCTAAGCATCTAGGGTATAATTAAATTATCGCAAGGTCTGTTTCTTCGTAATCGTAGGAATTTTTAATTGTATCGTCTAATAAATGGATTCTTGGCCGATGATACTAATAAGTTCTCAGTGTCTTATTGTATATACAGGGTGTACTAAAACCACCGGATATACTTGTAATCATAGAATCTTTAGAAAATGCGCGCGAAATCTCAGGTCTATCAATTGTGAAATATAATCGCTTATTATTTAAAAACTATTATAGCCTCCGCGCTTTTGTATTAGAATTTTCGTCTTGAAATCTTCTAAAGAATCTGCGATTGAAAGGATACCCGGTGGTTTTAGTACATTCTGTATAATCTAAAAAATAAAATTTACCAATCAAATACGTAACAGAGATCTCTTTGCAATTTTTTTGTAGCACCACGAGCATGGAGTCTCTTCGAGGTATACTTTCCGAGTACCGTTATGGATCTTCATGAGCGTCGACCGTGGGTCGCGAGAGAATCATGATTGTGTCCTAGATCTGTAATTCAAGGTAAAGAGGGAGAAAGAAGAAGAAAGGACAATTAGGAAAAGAAAGGGCGCCAAACTGGTTGGCAAATTCGATTAAATCCGCGCATCGATCCGGCACTGCTTCAATCGAGTGTTCCTGGAGGTGACCGTAAACAGCATGACATTGATAGTGACAGCTATCGTCGCTGTATCCGTGTTGGCTAACGTCTTGCTGGCCGACCTCGATCCTCGGGGTACCAAATGCGGCGAGAGGCTCTGCAACATCTCGGAGTATTGCAGTCCCTTCGATCAGCACTGTAGACCCTGTGCGATCGCGTGCAACGTCACGAGCCACAATTATCAGCCAGAGCCGTGCATGAGCGATTGTCAATGTGAGTTTTCACTATTATTAGTTTTTTTTATAGTTGAAACGCAGCACTTAAATTCATTGCGCGATTTCAGTTGGTCGAGTATAAAGTCCGTAAATATAGAAGTGATATGTAAAATGAATTTTTCTTCACAATTAGCCTCTGTTCGAAAATATTTCTAACGTAGATGTAAAATTTGCGCAATCGAGTGCGAAACTTCAGAGTAGTTGGAAAAAATTAACGTTTTATATTTCGGCTCGCATTTTGCGAATTTAAATTTATAGACCGATCGCGCCTCTTATCCGGTGCCTGCCACGTATCGCGGTGCATCGTCCTGTCGTTCCGGTTTCTCGTTTTCACGCGAGCCAGCGCGTACGGGAAACCGGATAGTAATACGGTGCCGTCGTTCACCTCTGCCGAGCGCGGCGGCGAGCAAGCGAGCAAACCAAACCCGGGTTCTCGGGTCCGTTGACTTTGCACCTGACTGTTCCTACCGACTTCCCACACGCGAACACAGTCGATGAGTCACCTGGCTTCTTTTCTTCCTCCCTCCGTCCTCACCGCCGTCCTTTTTCTTCAGCCTCCACGAACCCTCCCTAGTCTCCTCTTTATCGTCCTTTTTTTTCCCTTCCATTCCTGCTTGGTATTCAACGTCGGTTCCGCGATGGGGAAGGGGAGATGTATTTCATGCTCCGACAGGTAGGAGAAACCGCGGCATCGCTCCTTCTTGGGACGCGCGAAGAATTAAATTCTCTGCCTTTATATCAAAAGATGCTCCTTCGTGGGACGGGGGGGAGAGGATCTGATTTGACGTGCGTTTGTACGAAATTGTCCGTGTAGAGTCGTGTCGGGTCCACGTCTCGTTCCCCATTGAGAGTCCCCCGTTACGGTGTCCGGTTACGTTATGTCGGTAAACTTTCGGTTCAGGCTCACGTATAATTTTTACATTGTGGGAGAACTTGTTGACTCTGCGTGTGAGTAATGAAAGTAAAAAAAATGTCCGATGAAATAGGAACTATTGGGGGAAGAAGAGACGCGCTGTCCTTTTCATATCTGGCATCCTCGAGGAATTTATAGAACGATGGATTTCAAATCTTAACGTTGGAGTATTTCAATTTGTTACTCTTCAAAATTGTACTGTTATAATCGAGGATGCGAATTCGAATTGCCACATGCTATTTAATATTTTAAGCATATTTAAAATGTATCAAAATTTACTCATTTATTGCGACAATTCATTAAATATTGCGATGGCAATGCGTGTAATAAACCTGTTCCATTTATCGTTGGTAAGGTATAGCGTTGAACAATTAAATATCTCAATTTAAAGTGCCCTTCCCTTTACTTGCGAATCTTATCCATCGCCATCGCGGCCAAGTCCTCGCGAATCGATCCACGCGAACTCGTTGTCCCAGGTCTTGGTTTGCTTCTCTTTTCAATTTGAAACGGGGTCATCTCGCGTTTACAGTAGGGATAAGGCATAATCGCGCTCTCACGTGCCACACGTAAGCACCGTGGGTCGGAATTGTTTGTGCTGCGAGTTGCTATCGCGACAGACTTCGTAGAGCTTGCGCAGGCGCGCGGGAACCTGGGCTTTTTGAGAGGTAGACCATTGATTCGAACAGGAAGAAATGGAGAAACGAATTGAAGATCAATGCGCTGAAATGTGTTAGTGACAGACAGATCGATCGCGAGTAAGCGGAATCAATGCTATGGACTGCAGTTTTCTTCCAAATAGACTCGAAAGAAATGGACATAGAGAAAGAATATGTTTTGTAGTAGCGGACTTGAAAATACACGCTACTTCAAATCAATAAAATCAGTCTCGGAAAATTTACACATACCTATGTAGATATTTTTTTTCACTTTTAATTTTGTTACTCTTTTTTATTTTAAAACTATTCTACGTTCGAACAAACTTTACTAACGAAAGTCACGGCGTGTATTAACGTAATATCAGTATTATTAAAAAAATACTGCAGCGACAGCGATTTACCATACTTGACTATCGTTGTTAAATCTGTAATTGATTTCAACTTGAATTATATGTGAGCAATAACGTCCGAGTTTCCCTGTCGTATACCTGGGTGCATACTAGTATAGTTGGAGAAATCTTCGGGTTTTGTAGCTAATGCCTATTTTCCGTAACGCTTTCTAAATAAATGTCTGATAACTTGATAAAGAAGTATTAACGAAACATATATTCAATGTTGAAACTTCTCGAGCGCACTTCGGGAAAGTTTGCTCGACAAACGCGGCGCGAGTGCGCGCAATGCTGAATTAATTATTAGTCGCTTCCTCTGATTTCAGTTTATCTTCACGATCAGCGCTATGCCCAACGCATGGATCAATCAAGACAGTACGATGATCTCAGAGGTGAGTGGGTTCAAGTGCGAATAGAATATGCACATAATTTTGCCGCGAAGTACCGCACGTCTCGAGAGAAGTCAGACGAGTCGGAGATTTCAACGACGCAAATCTCGCACAAGCGTCACTCGGCTCGTAATTCTTGCGCGACTGCGATACACGGTCGCGAAGACCGGTATTCATAATTTCCTATTGCCAATCTCGTGGTTACTTTTATTTTAGAAGCGTAAAATTTTCGACACATCTATAATCGAGATACATTTACATAACATGATGTAAATACTTTTTTTTTAAAATAACTTCAGAGAACGTTCAAGAAATTTTCACACTTCAATTTTCATATTTTAATACCGACTTGTGTCTATTGCTTTGTATAAACCGCGATTAGAGAAAAGTGAGCGTAAGCATTGTGTAATATACTATGCGTTTCAATGTTTCGTATTAACGTTGACTCTTCCTTTCTAATACAAGGGAATTTATACTTTACTTCTGAATATAACTGGCAACTTTCACTTTGGGGATTTCAACGGGAACGGATGTTGGATATACCTGTGCGTATCTTTTTCGAAATCGGCGATGTGTTACAGAGCACGGAAGCAACTATCACGTCGATCAATCTCTAGTTTCTTTTAAATTATTTGCGCTCGATCTCCTAATGCGTAAAATTAAATTACGCGGAGACACCTAATGATTACATTACGTAGAAAATAATATATACTCCTCCGCGTGAAACGTACTTTGTTAGTATTTCTCTCTTATAATAATTTGTATAACAATTTCAATATGAGAATTGGTTTCGGAAATAAATTGGATATGCTACACCAATTATTTTGGTTCATCGGATAATTCTTACAATATCAATCGTTAAAATCTGTTCTTCTTTTACAGAGGAGGTCGAGAACCTTAAATATAGATTCGTAATCACAACGACGTTGACCTGTCTTTCACTGTTTGGGATGCTGTACCTACTGGGAAGAACCATAATACGATGGAAAAAGATTCAGCATACTTTGCAAACCATATTTAGAAGGAATATTAAAGTAAAGGTGATGTCTACACGCAAACACACGTATACACAATAACAGACTTTTCCAAAAGTCCTTGTTGTCTATTCGCTCTTGTTACAAGTAATTTTTCATCAAACTGAAACGGGATCGCGCAGAGAAAAAATATAACAAAAGCGACAAATAAAATAAGCTTGAATTCTCTAGAGAACAATTATGTGATCAATTCTCATATTTTCGTATTTCAAATTTTTCAAAGCCGTAAACGACCATTTCGATATTTTTATTTTTTTCTTACGCGACGCTTACGAGGCGGCAGTTGCGAGTACTTTAACGCCTTTAATTTGTTGCTTCAGCAGGCCAATAAGAACAAAGTGCAAGACGACGTCGAGGCCGGTGTGAATAAGCAAAACGGTCTCAAGTTGACTATACCGAATATAAGTGCCACGGTGGAGCAAGAATCCAAGATCGAGAATAATAACAGTAATAGTAATAGCAATAGTAATAGTAACGGGATTAATAGCACGCCAAACACCACGAGCACTCCTCTCTCGCGACGGCACGCTAGCGAGGATACCACTCTCGACTATGCTTACGACAATCCGGCGATGACACCGAGCCCAGACGCCGCGCAGCTTAAGACAAAGGCTCGCGAGAGTTCGTTTTAAGAATTTACGATAATGAATATTTTACGATAAGATATGAGCAGGAGCTACTTTTGACTAGAAGTCTCTTCGGGTACTTAAATTTAAAAGGGACTAACTCTGCGAGGTAAATGTTTTTTCTTGTTCTAAAAATGCGTTTTAAAATGTCACCACGAAATAAGTGGAAGTATCGCCTTTGTGGCGATAATTGTTTTTATGAAAAGAAGAAAAGACAAATATATTTAACGAAAGATGAAAAAGGTTGAGGAAAAGATTGCCGTGCCGGAATCTCAAACAATTCTGTCTTAAGTGAACAGGAAAATGCATAGAGGATGTGGCGAAACGTATATGCGTGAAATGTGACGTGGCTATTCTGTCTTGTTCTACGAACATATGTTCTATAAGATTTTTCATCGCGACCGATTTTTCAGGCTACATTGTTACTACGTTGTTAATGCATATTGGAACATACGTAGCAATGAGCGATGAAACGAAGAGATCGCTCGATATACCGCCACTTGGTCTTTCTCGAATGCTCGCGCGATTTTTAACGTATGTTAAAGAGTTTTCAAGAGTGATATTCATAGTCGAAAGTTCCATGAATGACCACAGTCTCACAGAGACTAATCATGTTTCTGCATAATTATTTTACTTCCCGATAATCCCTGAATCATTACACGTCTCTCGTCATGAAACAAGTGATTTGTGACATTTTCACTCACTTGGTGAAATAATACACGCTCATGTCCGACTATGAATTAATTGCATTTTGAAGAAATAATATTTGGAAAATAACGTGACTACGTTGCTCCTACATCGAGATAGTATTAATGTCGCCCTAGTAGGTTACTTATACAGCTGTAGTATAGTACTGTAAGTTTTTGGAGTGACTCGTGAATGCGTATCACGCCTCCGCGAACCGTGCGGCTGTGTGACTTAATTAAATAATTATTGACGCGATATACTCGCGGGACTTAGACGCGCGTGGTGTAATTGTCAACTTCATCCATTCGGTCTTAAACTACTGGCGAGACATCTCGCTTCCATGAAATTACTATAATAATTCCAACATTTGTACTAACTCTTTCGTCTGTTGGAGAATAGGCTGTAAGTGCCCTTAAAAAGTTACGCTTTTGCTTCAAATGAGCTAAAATCTTTGACAGTTATTTCATTGCTAAAGATTCTGTGCATCATTAACTCATGTACAAAAATTAATGCTACATTTACAGAGTAAATTAATTTATCAATTAATTAACCAATTTAATATTTTCTAGTTATTAAATCTCTTGTTTAGGAACAAGATACTCTTGTAAATTTTTCTTTAGGATTTACTGCTTTTTATGTCTTTTTAGCTTGGCATTGAAATGTTTAGTATGATCTCAAAAGATATTTACAAAAACTTTGCATGCGTGTTTACGATTACTTTTTAGTATTTTGCAATCACTAAAATAACATAAATAAATTGCCTAAATTAAAGATCAGTGCGTAAATTTCCGTTGTAAATTATGCACACCGCGTGTCCATATAAAATTTTAGTAATAAATATATAATAAGTAACTTAAGATATCGCATCCTTATCAGCCATTCCGTCCATGAAAGGCCTTTCGAGCAACGTGCGCGTGTAAGACGGCGCACTTTGCATAGGTCAGTAACGTTGCATGCGAGAACGAAGGGAAATCGATAACAATTTTATCGCGAACCGTAGCGAGTCATGGCATAATGTATTACATTGCGAAATTTCGCAGCATTGTAAATTCAAATGCTATATTAACAGGATTGTGTGTCTGTAATTTAACAGCCATTAATCTTGATAAAAATTTAAAAAATGTCCAATAAAATTGATCGATTTTTAAGTTCGTGAGAATTAAAAGACTATCAAAAGATATTACTCCTGGAAATGGATTTGCATTAAAATGCAATTTGCTCAAAACAGATGCGCTCAACAATCGCTTGCTCCCCGAGGAATATTCTATTTTTATTGATTGGGAGAAAGTGCTCGATTGATGCTCAATTTTAACGAGTAAACGTGTAGAAAGTTGCTCAACTTTGTAAATTGTTCATCAGTGATTGCTGACACTCTAAATAAATTCCTCTTCATTTATATTTTATATTAAAATTTTTATATGAATTGATAAAGCAGTTACAAGTTTACTATTTTTTTTAAGAGATCTCTTTGAAAAAATAATCAAGTAATACTTCAAATTTAAAACTTCAAATACTCATCGATCAAAGAAGTGAGTTTACATTTACATAATTGATATAAAATGCTTCGTCCTGCAGCAACCGCTCTGACCTTAGATTTAATCATTTATATACGACTCATCATTCTTAGCGATTAGTGAAATAGTAATAGCTACACACTACAGCGCACTTTTCATTTCATTACATGATCTACCCTTCGAGGGTGGATCAACATCTTCCAGAAACGAAGATATTACTTTGCCCAGAGGCAGCTAGTAGGATTAAATTCTCGACTCTAACTGTATATATATATAGTCTACTCTTATTTAACAGACCCTGTTTGCTGATATGTTCAAATAAAACGACGTAAAGAAATTTTTGCAAATATAAACGAATTCGAAAATCGAAAAATCAGACGACTTGAGACTTTACAAGTAAGATTTTAAAACATTCCTTCTAGCGTACTTAAGGAACTTGTACATAATTTTACTAATTTTATGTTTTATAAATTATTTTAGTAGTCGATTTTATTCTTTTATTAAGAGAGGTTTAGTATTGTAAGTCATATTTTCGTGACATTACTTAGGCAGCCGATTTTGTGATCAAGTCTTTTATCTTCTGTCTTTTAATCTTCTCTTAATTTCAGAAAATATGTCAAATATAGCCCATTGTCTTAATTTTAACATACCAGGTAACTTTTCACGCGTGATAATAACATAGAATATATTACGATGTTACTTTTAGATGAATGTGTTGATGTATGCGAATTATTCTGAATCTGTTAGTGTCTTCCATATTGATTATATTATCGCGCGAGTACTTAATCTTACATTGTTATATAAATATCTATGTGACTTAAAGCGTGCCTTTTTCAACGCAGTCCACCATGAATGCAATTGAAACAATAGATATTAATATGGCGTGCCTTTTCGACGAATTTTTTAAATGTTGAAATATATTTGTGATAAATAGAAATTTAATTGTGTAATACAGATATGGCAAAGGGACGATATCTCTCATATATACACATACATACATATATGTATATATGTCATGCGTTTTACGTATATGCAGGGTTGGGAAGTGACTCGTTACTTGTAACGATGTTGCAGTTACAGTTACTTCTTTTTGGTAACTAACTTAACTTTGTTACTTTCTCTCTGTCTGTAACTGTAACTTAACTCAGTGACATTTTGATGATAACTAGTAACTAATTTAATAGTTACTTTATATATTTTTTAAACCTCCACGCCTTTATTAACGCTTTACAATTCAAATGCAGATTGGACATTTCTATTTTCATTGCAAGGAAGTAACTGCAAAGTAACGATTCGTTACTTTTTGAGTAACTGTAACGCGTTACTTTTCAGAACTGGTAACTTGTAACTGTAACTAGTTACATTTTCAGCGAAAAAACTGTAACTGTAACTAGATACTTTTATAATGTAACTTTCTCCCAATCCTGCGTATATGTATACATACGTATATAAAGTATTAACTTAAGTATTACATGAAAACCTTGCTAGAGTTATACTTTATATATGTACACCTGAGGTGCCGCTTTCTGAGAAAGATATTGTTATCGGCATCGGCAGGTAGTTTAAATATAATTATTGAAATTATTGATTCATCCACTACGTTGCATCACAATTAAATATAAAAAGGGAATTTCAATACGCGATTTGATTTGATAATCGTGATATTAAGTAATCGTAAAAATGATGATTTTACGAGGTTTGTGGAACGTATTAATATTTCTAAGATACTTATAAAGGACAGTACGATATACATTCCATTGTACATTTTTTCGAAATACACACAGGTTACCGATATCAAAGTATAATATCGAGGGGTATCCTGAATGGATATTTTACCATTGTTAACGTGTCGCTTTTAAAAATTATGAAAAGAGCGAACGTTTTTTTTTAACTACATTTACTTGTAGTTACGCTGCAACTTTTCGTGAATGTTTAATGTTATCTGGCTCAAGTGGGCTCGAAGAAATGCGACAAAATGTTCTTGTCAAGCAGCGGCAACTTTGTTTTTTTGTAAATAAAGATGCAGATACACCGATAATGCGCACAAAATTTTATTTCCCTCTCTCCGCGTCCCTACAGTACCTCTTTACTTCAGTATACTTTGTAATAGAAAATGCTGATTGCGTATAAAATCTTGTAATGAACAATCTAGCTGCATCGAGTTAGCGGTACTTAACTTTTCCTGTCTTGTGCTCATCGTAATAAATATTCAACATCAATCTTACGAAATATTTAATGCGAAAAGAGAAAATAATATTGAAATCCCATAGTTATGTACATCATAGTGGACATAATTCTCATTCATTATTGTGAAAGATAAAAATCACTTCGAACTAATTCGCGAATCCAAAAACTTTCTTTCTATTCGCCTTTTAATGATAATCAAGTTGAGGACCGAAAGAAGATTAATCGGACAAAAATACATACGAGCATTGAGAGATTGAGACTTAAAACTTGAAACAAAGGTGATGTACGAAAAGTCTATCAGCCGTTTCATGTACCTATTCATACAAGTGCCATCACGGAAGGCGGTGGTCGAGGGCAATATGGAGCAACGGAGCGACGGAGATCTCGCAATTATTCAATCGTGGCCCGTGGAGCTGCGTTTAACGCGTCGCTCTTTCACCGTCACAGACGTTTCGTAGAGCGCGCAGAAGAAGCGGCACATCCGTAATCTCGTCGCCGCATCGTCGCGCAATCTCGAAATCACGGTAATCGCGCGAAATCAAAGAGATTAAAAGGGCGGATTTGATAAAAGTACGGGATTCGACTTCGGTCATTCTCATCGTGACTTCTCTGCTTCGTTTTTCGCATTGCCGTGTGATTTTGGAAAATCTGACAGGCACGTCTGTGACACGTGATTTTCTGATTTTATAGAGCACAGATGGATTTATAAGAGTGTGATAGAGTTTCGTGAATTTATGTGCATTTACAGAACTGCGACGAAGCGAATATACTTGGAATAAATATAATTTACGATATCATGTACGTTTCAGAATGAAATACCTAATTCATCTTGCGGACAGATTGAATTTTACGTGAATTTACGTTTCGCGATTTTGCAATCTTTGAAATATCGAAACTGTGCTAAATGCGGGTCTGACGCTCGCTTTCTGTGAAATGTTGGAGGACTCGCACGCGACAGGAAATAATTGCGACCTAATCCTTTGCGTCAATTTGCGAATTTCTAGAAGTCCGCTCGGTATCGACTTACTAACTATTGAAAAATCGCTGAATAATGTCCACGGCGGTGCTCAAGTATAAAATCTATCGGAGGTGAATATCTGATTGGGATAATTTTTTTTCGACGAAGCACACTCGAGGTGCAATGGATCCGACGGATAATCGGCGAACGTTCGACTTGGTCGATTCGATTGTGTTCATTGGATTGCTGGGCGTCTCTGCCCTTGTAGGTGTTTATCAGTGGTATGCGTCTAGGAAGAAGGCGGACGCCGTGGGAGAGTATCTTGTAGGCGGCCAAAAGATGTCTATATTTCCAATAAGCATGTCACTGATAGCAAGGTAAAAATTTGTCTCTTTCCGCTGAGCGTTTTAGTTTAACTCTTTTACAGTAACGTCGAAAGAGCGCATAATTATAAATGTTCCCCGCGATTTTAAAATCTGTCTTTTTATGCTCTAGAATATATGAAATATATGCACGAAAGTAGCTTACTATTAATTAATTTATATTCTTTTGCGTTTACTGCGTACGAAAATATGGACGTCGTTAGAGGAACCGTAAACCGGAAATATAGAACACGTGGTTAGGTGACGTTTCTCTCAATTGGCCGTCAAGGCCCACTGGTTAACGTTGTTAATTATTAATAGTCACCGGTCCACGTGTCGGGATAACCAGGATAAGAAAATTCGTTCTAAGAGCACCCCATATTAGCTATAAGTCTTATTGACAGTAACTACCATCTGCAAATAGCTTTACTTCTAATTTAAGCATACCTTTCTTTATAAATTATGAAATTGCACTTTTAATAAATAATATAATCTTCGTTTTTACGGCTAATGTATACTGCACGTTTGTTATTAAAAGTACTCAAGTCATAGATAATAAAAAAATGCAATCCCTAAATGAGACAAAACTATTTTTCGCCGCTTTTAGATATTTAATTTTAATCACGTTACGTTCGCGATTGACGATATTAAATTGAGTGATCGTCCATTTGCCAGAAATGAATTGGAAATTAGTGACGTTTAAATCTGCATTGTCTAAATGGTCCGCGATTACGAGTAATTCTAAGAACAACTCCTTAAAATTGCAGCTACGTGTCGGGTATAGCAATGTTGGGATTGCCGGCCGAAATGTACGTTTACGGCACGCAATTATGGTGCATCGTGATCGCGGATAGTTTTGTATCCGTGACGATGGCGATCGTCTACCTGCCGGTTTTCTACGGGCTCCGAATTACGTCGTCTTACGAGGTACATGATGAGTGATTTTATCTTACAATGAATCTTGATAATCAGCAATTCATTTCTCGCAGTATCTGGAGTTAAGGTTCAATCGAGTGGTCAGGCTCATGGGATCTTTTATCTTCATTATCAAGATGGTGAGTTTGTGTCTTTGTTAAGTAAGTAAAGCTGGAAAGTTTCGACTCAAAAATTCCCTAACTTTTTTCAAGCAAGTTCGCGCGTTCAGAATTGACTCCGGTGTTTTTGGACACAACGGTTCTTGCCAATCTCTTTTTAAAATCGCTATCAGATCTTTTTATCAGAGAGTATTTGATACGCAGCGTACATCTTTACCGTATCGAGAATTCCCTGAAGCGTTGAACTTGATACCTGTTGATCTCGTGAACAATTCAACACGCCGAACAATCTTGCGGTTGCAGCTGCTTTACATACCTCTGGTGATATACGTACCTGCGCTAGCCTTCAATCAGGCGACCGGAGTGGACCTCTACACGATCGCGTTACTGGTCTGCGCTGTGTGCATCTTCTACACGACGTTGGTAAGAACATCGCTCGTCCAAGAATTGTGACTTCCTGCCAAGAGACATTTCGGATTTCTTAGTTTGAACGCAAGCCTACCGCAGATTTATTGTAAACGGGGCATGCGCTTGTTGATAGAAATAAAGACGAACATCCTGAAACAAAATACTTATTGTTAGTTCGCGACAAGTGTCGAAAAGACAACTTAATATTGCAATTAAAAATAGCAGTAATAGTATATATAAAAAAATATGATTTTACCTTTCAGGGTGGCTTGAAGGCGGTCGTCTGGACGGACACTATTCAGACGGTGATGATGTTCGGCGCCGTCATCACCGTTGCCATCCTCGGCACCGCCAGAGTCGGCGGCGTGGCGGAGGTGTGGAGAAGAAATGCTGATAGCGGGAGAATTGAATTCTTCAAGTACTAGCAGCAATTTCTTCGTATTCTTTTCTACATCTTCTCTAACAATTAACTTAACTTATTGATATCATATACATAATTGGTCTTTATCGTAAGCGCGCAACGCTCAGTCGCAGATTTACCGATCTATCAAGTTATCGCAAAATATCGACTAATAAATGATATCCATTCCGTCCTCTTCCTGTTTTAATCAGCATGGATCTGGATCCTACGATAAGGCACACGTTCTGGGGTGTGGTGGTCGGCAATTATTTAAATTGGCTGGCCACGTGCTCGGTGAATCAAGCGATGGTGCAGCGATGCCTGGCGATGCCGAACTTGAGGAAGTCGAATGTGTGAGTCCGAGAAATGCATCACGATGCACGATGCATAACGCTCATTTAATCTCCTTTTGTATCTAGGGCGATTATGATAATGGCCGTGGGCATAATCAGCATTGTCTCGTTATGTTGCTACACGGGAATCGTCATCTACGCGGCCTTTTATGACTGCGATCCGGTCACGACAAAGGTAAAATGATCTCGGCGTGAGGCAATTCGTAAATTGGAAGCTGTCGAATGAAGTGAAACTTTCCGACTTCTGATTAATCAATTTCGATGACGAATGAGAGAGACAATGACACGACCGGACGTGGATTATTGTACGCGCGACTTTACATAAACGTTTCGGCGAAATGTTAATAAAAATTGCGTTTTAGCAAATACGAAAGCCCGATCAGCTGTTGCCGTACTTCGTGATGGAACTGTCGGAGGCGATACCAGGTTTGCCAGGATTGTTCGTTTCTGGCGTATTCAGCGCGGCATTAAGGTACCGTGGAATTAAGATGCTCTTTTCTCAAAAGTAAAATTAGGATATCACTTTTTTTTTTAAATTTCTTGCCAACTTTTGAATCATTGTATGACATCGAAAGAGATTGTTGCTGTACAATGCTGTATAGTCTCATTCGTTCATCTTCCCGTTTCGCGTGTAACACGCTCGCTCGTTGACCTTTAGCACAATGTCGACCGGATTGAATTCCATGTCGGGCGTCATCTATGAAGACATGATCAAGCCGTGTCTCCGTAAGCCGATCTCCAACGTCGGCGCGAGCCGCATAATGAAAGCCACGGTTGTGGTAATAGGAGCCATTTGCGTAGGCCTCGTATTTATGGTTGAGAAACTGAGCGGACTGATTCAGGTAAGATGCAAACGTGCATTCGCACGCAAATATTCGTTTAACGATGTAGCGGATTACTTGAGCGAGTCAATTGCCGAGTAATCTACGCCGTCATCGAGAGCGTGCTGATCTTTTCAGGCTGGTAAAAGTTTGTCGGGAATAACCGCCGGGCCCTTGCTCGGAATATTCACGCTGGGCATGCTGTTCCCAATGGCCAACTCTACGGTAAGAGGATAGTCATACGGGATCCAACAGGAGTACATTGCAAACACTTTCGAATTTATTTCACTGACAGGATATAGTTTTAACCGTCTATTATATCTTAATTAGGGTATTTGCACTATTTCCTAGTTTGTTTCGAAGATATGATATTATTTACACGAACTTAATATAATATCAGTCAGGACATCCGTCAGAATTCCCGACGGTTTATTTTAACGATAGGTTTACGATGCACTAGTACTGCTACGATAAACAAATCGCGAAGTTTATCATTAAAATCAAGCCGGTCCTAAGAAATTCTACGTTCACCAGGCGAACATCCTATCTCTATCTTCTTATCCAAATAGGGAGCACTCGTCGGTGCGCTGGTAAGTCTGAACTTGGTCGCTTGGATCTCGTTCGGTACGCAAGCGGCGATCTCCAACGGATCGATTTACTTCCCGGTAAAACCGGTATCGATGGACGGATGCACCGAATCGTTGAAAAGCACCGCTGGAAACCTCACGATGATCGTCGAGACCGCTGTCAGGTACATTTATCGAATTGCTCTCGCATATAAGAACCGCGTAATGACTCCTCTCGTATCGCATCGTATTAAAAATGTTCTTGATTTCGTTTTCAGAGAACAACCCTTCTTTCTGTACAGAATGTCGTATCTCTGGTATACGTGGGTAGGTTTTCTAATTACGATTCTAGTGGGCCTGTTGGTCTCGTGGTTCACGGGTCCGTCTAAGTACAGTCGCGTGGATAAGAGATTATTTACACCCATAATACACGGTCTTTTACGCTCGAGAGATCAGCAAGTGGTACGTGTAATTCCGCGATCCTCAGAGAAATAATCTTATCGCTAACGTAGGTACCTCAATTTTTCTCATTCCTTTATCCCTTTTTTACAGAACGAGGCTGAACTCACGAAAATGAAGAACGACGCGAACAATATAACGCAAACTTCTTCAAAATGTTAGCCATCGTTTCTCATCTCTCTCAATCGCGGTTCAATCGGGCATATATACGATCGTACGAGCATATCGAATTTGTATTCGACTTACAATTAGTCCCAATATCTCATAAAATTATATTATAAACTAAGACTAATAATCGTTTGTCGACACAAGTGACGCCTGTACTGTTACGTTGTAATGACCTAATGGTCTAAACCTCATAGCGCATCATCATCGATCAATCACAGTACAGGCGGCACTAATGTCGAACACAATTCGTTACACGCGCGCAAAAGTAATCCTATGTAAACGACTAATATAATCCCTGGCAGTGATCCAAAGTTGCCGACTCGGTTTTGTATCCATTGTGTATCATCTACTTAATAAGTTTTAATTAGGCCGATAATGTACAAAGAAAACGAGCAACGTTAGCTCCAGTATTTGCACGTCTATATGTCCACACGTTGAAGACCGCGCAAATACTGTTTCGTGGTATAAATTTCTAGACAACGGCTAACACATCTATGTTGTATAATCTACCAAAATGTTCGGCACCCGTGAGCGTATAATGTATAATGATTAATGTAAACTAATAAAGTCAACTTATCTTGCTAGATAATCACACTTGCAAATTTTATATGTATATTGTCCCCATACATTACGTATGTTACATATCGCATATTAAAATTCCTATACCATAATACCTCTGCTCGCACAAAATTGTATTTTTGATTTTTAAGATATTTGTTAAGACTATTACTCGATAACCTTAAGATTCGAGGAAGAACTCAATGTCTGTAGAAATCAAACCGATACAATTAATTTGGATCTCGCTATCAGCGTTTATACATATTTACAGCGATCATAATGTACTTGAATTGCCAAACTGACGATATACTTACCGACGATATCACTACATTTCACAGCTCATTTATGATTACATGTAACAATGTGCAGTAGGCATGGCGTTGATTACTATACACCTTTTCGTAAAAGAAGGATATATCCTTCTGTAGAACGATTTACAGACAAAACTGCTCGAAGTCCGTTCTCGTATACCAAATATCATTAGGGGGGGGGGGGGGAAAGAGGATAATTTAAGATGCAAGTGGCGATATACCAATCGACGTCCTGGGATCTGGTTGGCCTTGCTGAGGCGGCGGAACCTGTTGCGGGCCTGTCTCGAGATTCTTAAGGAGCAAGTTTAACCAATGCTTAGTCGAGGCGTCTTCTTGCAAACATGTCGCAAAGGTATTATCTCTCAGCTGGTCCGGCAAGCACTGTCTCAAGGCTAACAATGCTCTGCAAAATTAATCAACGTTCCTTCGGATTCTTAAGAAAGATGTGTCGCGACGTTTGTCGCGCGCATATTTTGACCACCTCACCTTGGATTGTCCGAGAGTCTTAGGTAACATCGTACTACATGTTTCAATAATCTTGCAGAAGGATCCTTGGCTAAGGATAAAACCATCTTTCCTAATATCATGGCGACATGACTGAATCTATCGTAGGTTTGGCAGATGTAGGACAGGCCGCTGTCGTCCAGCAGTATCTTTTGCAATATAAATGTTGCCACGGTCTTACTTAGCTCCGAGCCGCTTTCCATGATTCGTAAACAAAGCGGAATGATCTCGGTGGTGAGAAGGAAGGTGATGACTTCTTGCTCGTCGGTTTTCACCAGCGCGCCAATCACACCGAGACTCGTCAAACGCAGATATTCGAACGGTCGCGTCTTACTTACCGTATGCAGAAATGGATATAGGAACAACGGGACGTGTGCCTGGAATCAAATACATGCGATACTTTGTACAGTTATGTACTTTCGGTTGTGCGCAGATAAATTATGTAAAATTTGCCGTTTCACACAACAGAGACGGCCAGTCAAGTGCTATTATGTACTCGTATCAATTCCTATTAATCGACCGATGAGAATTTTGGCGTATTTTTAGTCGCAAGATTTACACACGCCGCGCGTGCGCGCAGTGTAGACTCACCTGCAGGAATGCGGATCTCGTTTCAGGATGACTGGCCACGCATTGCAGCAGCGCCAGAGCGTTACATACCCGGTTGCTCTGATAAGCTGTGAGAGTGGCAGGGTTGATTGCCGGATAAATATTAATGATTTCTTGCAAAAGGGATGCCGTAGTGCCGAACGAATGCCACAGCATAGGTGCTAGGTCGGGCACTACTTCACGCTTCTTGCTCAATTCTAGGAGAGCGTTCTCCCTCGTTTCCGGATTCGACAGCTCGATTATCCACGCGTAGACCTTCTCGCGGTCTACGGTGGACTGCAGGGCAGCCGGGCTTTGCTGAGTGCTCATCTCAGTGTCCCCGGCGGCTGCTTTGCAATTCGGTTCACGGCACGGAGCAGCGGTGTCGCGACTAGCGAGTTCGATTTGCAGCGTGAGGAATCAAAATTTCCTCGCACTGCGTACCGCGTGTTACGTCGCCAAGTATGGAAACCCAACCTCTCGTCCTCTACGTAGATCGACGGTCACTCTCGCGGGTGTTGCGCGCCAATTTCCGTAGCGTCCCTCGCGTACGGTTAGCCGGTCAATCCATTACGACGCCCGCGAAACCTGTAATACAACTCGAAATAATCACGCCGGGATCAAACGCCGGAGGCACACAGCAACGACAAGTTCTCTGGATGCGCGCGACATCCAAGACCAAACATAACCTACATTTACGCGTCGCCACCATCCGTATCTCCACCTGCAACATGTATGTCTACTGGGCGCAGGGCGATCAGGGCGATGCCTCTAAGTATCCAAGTTCGACGTTTCTTTCGGAGATAATCGTTTATTCTTGTCGATGTTTTTAATGTCAACCGGAGAGATCGGAGAGAAACTCGAAAGCGGCCACGCCGGCGTTGTACCTGATACAGTTTTCGCTCGACTGACTCCAGCGCCTCACGCCCATTTTCATTTCTGCAACTATTTCCAAGCACTGCCGATAAAGTCTCCACTTGGTGCGTGTCCGTGCTATACGCCCGTTTTTCGAGCGGGTAATGCAGTGCCCCCAATTTTGGTTGTGTTACGCGCTGCGTGCATGAAATGTCGGTAACACGAGAGCGTTATTAATTTCTCGTAAGGAGAGCGAGCGAGAATTCCTGTCACTGTATCCAAATGCCACTTTACTTGCGAATTTACACTTCCGTTTGTAAAGTCACTTATCACTGCATCCAAATGCCACTTCTTCGATTTTCACTGTGCCCGATTGTCACTGAGTCCGAATTTACACTTCCGTTTGTGAAGTCACTTGTCGCTGTCACTGTATCCAAATGCCACTTCACTGGCGAATTTAAACTTCCGTTTGTAAAGTCACTTATCACTGTCGCCGTATCCAAATTCCGCTTCTTCGGTTTTCACTGTGTCCGATTGTCACTGAGTCACACTGATATCCGCACAAATCACTGACACAAATCGCGGGAATTCACCGATTGCACGGTGATATCAATCATCGCTTATTCACAGAGAGCGATCGCGGTTTCTTCCAGCACCTGTCCCGAACGCGTATCAAGAAAGAATAATACGATATGCGAAGCGGCGCGCGGGCATAACCGATCAATTCGACTGTCGCCGCGTGATCTGCGTACGGTGCCGTAAACGCCGTAAAAACCGAGCGCGGATTCCAAGAAATGACGTAGCGCCGTGAACACCTCGGTCGAAAACAATACCAATGCCAATAAGCCAGCAGAATGATACGCAAAACGTAGTAACAGCCGCGGAACAAAGTAATGTAAATATCAAGTACGGAATTTTCCATTACGTAGGCGGGTCAACGAATTCTCAACGTTTTTTTGTTGTTTTTCACTCGGCGCGGTGACGTACGATGTTTTTGCGGGCCAAAGTTTACCTGAAGGTCGGCGCTCGCTCACTCGCTCGCCGAACGTCGAGCCGGCAGGCAGTGGCGAGAGTCGCTCCGTGCGTGTTATTACTTTTGCGTTATCGGTTTCCAGGACTCGATTGCGACGAATGCAGGGATAAAACACTATTGATTTGCACACCTTCATTAGTAACAAGTAACGTTCCTTGATTAATTACTAAGTTTCTACAACTTGTAACGAGAAACGAATTGCACGTTGAGGCGACGGCTCTTTATCAACGTATACATATTTCGCGAGACTAACTCGTCTAAAATTTGAATGTAAACCGTGGTACTTCGTCGCGATTACATCTCGTTTACGCGCCGCGCTTTTAATTATCTATCGATTTCGTGTAATCGGTTCCATTTTCGGGAAAAGAGAGAAACTTTTACGACTTGGGCGTTCGCGCTGTAATTCGCTCTGTCGAGGATTAGATTGAATGACAAAGATAGTAAAATATCCGGTGCTCGCGTTGCGTTTTATATCGCCAATTCAAAAGTGTTCCGAATCAAAAATGCAAATTATTAGTTTGAATAATTTGTACGACAGAAAGTCACGCGATATTTGTTAATACTATTTCGTGCGTTTCGCGATATTTCACATCGCGTACGGGAGTGTCCGAAATTTCGCGCGATCGGTGATTCTCGCGAGTGAGTGTTGTGTGAGTGCCACAAGGAAATCTGAGAGGAGGAGGAGGCTAAGGAGGCATCGGGCAACGACGGAGAAATGGTGAGGTAAGTGTCTTACCTTCTTATATTATTTGCTACTTGTACAAAATAAAGCATCTGACTTTTTCGGCATTCTATAATTATTTTAACAAATAATACCCATTTTTAAAATACAAAATATAAAGTCTATTTAATACAATCATTTCAATTTTACACAATTCTATAATAATCATGTACATATTTGTATTTTTGCAGTTTGACATATACCATATAATTGACGATGTACACCTCTGCTGTTGCGAATCGTATCAGTGAGTGTTAAATTACATTTTATTTTAAATTGACGTTGCGCGTACAATTACTTATTTGCGTGTATACAAATTCTTAAAAGTATACATTGCTCGACTACAAACTGTGCGCGCGGAGCGCGCGTTTTGTCATTTCTATTAAAAGTGAGATGAGGAGGAAACAATATACTTATTACAAACGTAATTGTATCAATATTTAAGATAACATTGCTCCAACATTACTAAAGCAATATTGTAAAATAATGTCTCTGCAATATCTATGTACCATTACACTGCAATATGCAATGTTGCAATGTTGCAGCAATGTTGTTGCAAGCTTTTGTGTCGTATGGAATACAATTGTCTTTTCTCAACATGTGAGATTAGAAAATTTGTCCTCTTTTGCCGAAATAAAATTGAGAGAGGAGAGAGAGAGAGAGAGAGAGAGAGAGAGAGAGAGGGAGATAGAGAGAATTCCGTTAATCTCGAATGGCAATATTCGAAATTTAGTAAAGTTTCATGTTATACGACGAGTTATCAACGGAAAGTATACGCGTGCATTGATCGTTGAGCAAAGCAGTTTAATCGACATTCGACAAGTTAGAATGGAATTACTGTATGGTATCTGAAATGCGGGGGAAAATGTTTAACATGTAATTATCCATTTAAAATATATAGAATAGGTCATTATGTATTTATTAATACAATTACTGCGTCAATTAATTCAATCACGTATTTGCGAGTGTGAGGGTCATTTTGTCTTTTCAATGATTATTAATTTAATTATTTCAAGATCGTTTATTCTGCAAACATCACGTAGATACATTCTATTTCTCTTTATGACTCTTCGCTGAGGTAGTTCATATTTTTTAAATAATTTTATTCGACTAGTTCCAGCGGAATACTCGAAAAGAGGAGAGAGGCAGGCTCCGTTGTTATTCGCTATATTCGCCTTGTTGCTAATGTATATTTAATTAACTTTGTTACTTATTTTATGTAATGCTAATACAAGTGATACTAACTTTTTCATATTCACGGAGCGAGTCAGTCTTGTTTATATTACCGTAGGAAAAGAAACGATTTTTAGTTACAAGGTTGATTTGAGAAACATAAGAAGTCTGTTTCTGATAATAAAAACGGCAAGAAAGGCCGAGAACAGACGAGAAAGAAAATAGTTGGTAATATTTGCGAGGATTGTGAACATATTAGATGCACATTCGTAATTAACTTTGCGATTAATCATGCAATTCTGCAATTAGAATTAATGTAGCCTTTGCTATATTAGGAAGAAAAAAGTTTATCTATATTTACGTAATTTATCTTATAAAAAAAACTATTTTTAACCGGCGGCCGTGTACTAGTTAAGCTATCTGATCATTTGAATTACGCCGTGAAAAATTAAGTTTGAATACCAGAGCATGTGTGAGAGAGATGTAATTAACAACAGCTGATTATAAAGCAGCTATTAGATTCTATAACAATAAGTAAAATTAGTTGCTTTGATGAAAATCTGTAATTACACCGGTTACTATAATTTGGCCTTTTATTAACCTACTTCTTTTATATAATTCGTGGCTGTAACGTGTTTTCAGCAAACACTCTTACAAATTGTAATCTCACTCGACAATCATGTTTTTAAACCGCTTCCGAGAGGACACGTTGAAACATTTCCGGTCATCGCCTGGCAATTTTTATAAATTCCACACGTAAAAAACTGTCAAACAGCTCGAGACTACGCGATATGCACTGTTAAACGTGTGCACACGTAAAGTTAGACAATTTTTGGCGACTGTTTGGTACGCAATACCAAAGTGTACTTTATATATTTTTTAAACCTCCATAGATCGTATTAGGCCTTGCATTTGCGCATAAACGCCCTTGATCGACGCGTTAAAATTCAAATGCAGATTTGATATTTTTATTTTCATTGCAAGAAAGTATACGAAGTAACGATTCGTTACTTTGTGAGTAACTGTAACGCGTTACTTTTCAGAATCGGTAACTTGTAACTGTAACTACACTGATAAAAGTCAATGCGAATTTACAAAGGAATTTTACTTACTTCTTGATACATTTGCCTGAATTTTCATGACATTTTACATAAAATTTGCATTTCTTCCTTTGGTTTCATTAAAAATGCAGGAATATTATGAAAAATTAATTGAATCTGATATTTTTTGTCACATAATTTGTAAATTAGCTCCCGGTTCATCCAAAATATTTCATATACGTGCTTAAATTTCACTTCTATATAGTAAATTTACAGTCCGACATGGAATTTTACCCTTTCGTTAGTGATATCGCAGTATTTCAGTAAAGTGGAGTGCGCGCAATAGAGAATTTCATCATCCTAGTACGCTGTGCGCGCCGTAAATTTACTATCTTAAAGGGAATGTTACAATAAATCGTGTATTTTTAACATCGGACAGTAAGCTGAAAAAATATTTAACGGAAACACAATTTGAATGATAGTTTCAACGTTTCGAAGTAAAGTTACAAATCACTTTGTATTTTAACAGCGTAATTCGAAGGTTAAAAATGACCACCGATTTTCACAGTGCAATCAGGTTCCAATTTTTACCAGTGTAGTTACATTTTTAGCGAAAAAACCTGCAAGTGTGCAACTCGGCACAAAGTGACTTTCCCAACCCTGCCGGAATGTAAAGAAACTACATTAGAAACGTTCCCGGGGCATTTTGCGATATTTCGCGCATAAAGATACACATCGAAACGTCACTCTGCTTACAAGAACGTCGGGGGTGAGTCTTTCGGCGAGGGAGAGTCGAATCGAAAAGCGCGCCGCCAAGTGCGCCGCGAAGTGCGCCGCGAGTCAGGGCGCGGAGTAATCCTTTCGAAATTAATCGTTACGTCTACATTCCAAAGCCCAGACGGCGTATTTCCGTCCCCTTTTCGCCCACCCGCGGCATGTGCGCGTACACTCAGGTCGCAAACGGCCAAGTTCGAACGTTACACACCGATCGGTTGCCGACGTACGTAGTCATCGCGAGCCGGCGCGTCTCCGGCGCGTCTAGGCACGCGCGCGCGATCCCGCGCGCCAGTGTCGCACGGTCGCCCGTCGGAGCGTGTCGCGGTGGTGCTCGCGGAACGGATCCACGAATTCGAGGGAGCAAGAGGGAGAGAGAGACACCCCCTGCCGCGAAAATCGACGATCGCTTCCCGCGACTTCCACGGCTCCGTCCAATTGTCTCGCGCGTTCGAATCCTCGCACGCGCGTCGTCGATCGGCGTGAACGGT